GCCAATCTTGGGGTGTCTCTGTTGATTAGATAGCAAGGCTCACTTTTCATGGCTAAGCCCCCAAAGGACACTGGGTGCCACCAAGCCCATGTGGACTGATGCACAGCCACCCCCGTGGGTTTCCAAGACCGTCACTGTTCACGGGAGTGGAGGACTGGTCTTTCTCCCACGGAGTGGCTGGTGGTCGTGAACTGCCGACCATGCAGGTCACAGCCCAATACCTAACCACCGCACGACCTACCAGGACTCCTTAAAATCACCCACAGACAGGCACACAGAGAAGGCGCTTGGCCTTCTCTGACCCCGAGGCCACGTAGCGGATTATAGACATCCAGAGAGATTGTGTGCAATCAAGTCCCTGAGGCTAACTGCCTTGTGGCGGGGGCCCTTGCTCACGGCATGCCGTAAAAGAACCCCATTTACACTGTCTTCCTTCACAAATTTTCCCTAAATCTTAAATGAAGTTAGAAACGAACACGGGCTGTTGGAATACAGGCTGAGAACCCTGCGGTGACTCGCCAGTGAGCGGACCTGACATCAGGCCAGGCCCCCGAGCCACCACAGGCCAGTCGCACGGCCTACCCTCGCGGGCCAACACACGCCCCAGACAGGCTCCCGTGGGCAGGCAGCCCGAGGAGGGACCCTTGACAGTGAAAATTGGCAGACCCTTAAATGGGGGACATGGGAAGCCCAGTGTCGGGGGACAGCAGCCCGCCGCGAGAGGGGCCGGGGAGTCCAGGTACAGAGTTTCCACGGGGCGGGAGCCCCTTCTGCTGCCAGGAATCTGCGGATGGGGGCCTTGGGGCTCCCTGGTCCCCCCAGCAGGGAGCGCTCAGTGTGTGATTTGCTCACGGGCAGCGCCTCTATTGAAAGTGAAAGCATGCCGTGTACCATTGTGGGAAATGATACGGTGCTGCCTTGCACAAGTGGGGACACGCAGACATGTGGCGGCAGAGCCAGCCCCCGCTCCGCCCCCTACGTGGGAATAAGTAAGAAATGCTGCTGCATTCAAAATAAATGTATACTTAATGGATAAATACCTGTACATAGATCTGTGTCCCTGTGGTTAGGTATAATTATATTTACATATGCACGTGCCTGTATTTAGACCTCTATTAATGTCCTTTGTCCCCTAGTTCTTTCCTCTATTTCCTTTTACTTTCCTGCTGTCCCACTATCATGTTCAACCTTCATTCGGCTTTCAGTAATTCCTCTGGCTACATTGCCGTTGATCAAACCCCACCAGGCATATGTTAAGTATTAAGGTAGCAGACAGACATTGGGCCTCTACTCAAGTCCCCCCTCAATTCAAGAACACTTTGTTTTAATAACTTGGCATTCTGTGATGCTCACCTTCCGGGAACAATTGCCGAAAACAAAATGGGTGCATAACCAAAAGTGGTGAAGAAAGCTGAGGGTGCCCGGCTATTACAAGACCTAGTGTCTGGGGTCTTAAAGGCTTGAAGTTAAATAAGCAGCCATCTAGTGTAGAAGCAACAAAGCTCACGTGGAAGAAGCACACCAGCCTGTGTGATCATGAGGTGTTGATGGGATCAGGTATCAAAGACCCCAAACAAGCAATTATATCGATGTGAACAAGGGGGGTCAGAATGGTGAACCGAGGCCTGTCGGTAGACAATTGGCCATCACATCACAGAAGGGTCACAAGGAGGGGACGAGCCAGGCAGGGAGCAGCATAGCACAGGCGGAACATAGAACATTCACCCAGGTCAGTGATTCTAAACCTTCCCACCACCCTTTCATACAGTTCCTCATGTTGCGGTGACCCCCCAACCACAAAATTATTTTCGTCGCTAATTCATCACTGTGATTTTGCTACTGTTATGAATCAGGCGACCCCTGTGAAAGGGTTGTCCAACCCCCAAAGGGGTCATGACCCACAGGTTGAGAACCACTGCTCTAGTTCTTTAATGCCCCCCCCCCCACACACACACACTATCATGACCCCAGTTCTACCTTAAGTATCCGGCTAGACCAGAGCATGTGCACTGGTATGAATAAGAGTAAGAACTCTGGACACACAGGATCCAGGACAGATAACCCCCTCAGGAACAATAATGGGGGCAGTGATTACCAAGTGTAGAGGGAGGTGGGGGGAGGAATGGGGACCAATCACAATGATCGATGTATAACACCCCCACCCACACACACACACACCTAAGGGGACGAACAACAAAAACATGGGTGAAGGGAGACACAGGATGGTGTAAGATATGAAAATAATGATAATTTATCACTTCTCAGGGGTTCACGAGGGTGGGAGGATGGGTAAGGGAGGGAAAAAAATGAGCTGATCCCAAAGGCTCAAGTAGAAAGAAAATGTTTTTGAAAAGGATGATGGCAACCTATGTACAAATGTGCTTGACACGGTGGATGGATGGATTATTCTAAGAGCTGTAAGAGCTCACAATAAAATGAGTTTTGAAACAGAATGTCCATTAATAAAAATAATAAATGTATAAAATCATTTGCCTTTCGACGAAGCTGGCCCCACTTGATGGGGGACCCCACCTCTGAGCGGGGCTGTGAGGGGCGCTGAGAAGGCCCGGGCCAGGCAGGTGTGCAGGGCCCCATGCACAGAGAGGCCACCCCAACGCCTTCAGACACACCTGTGGTTGGGACCACCAGGACCGCCCTGGGAAGGAGCTACGGAGCGGGCCTCCCAAGAAACCTCGGCATGCTTTTGCCCCTCAGGGGCTCAGCTGCTGAACCGCCCAGAAGCCAGGTGTTTCGGGGGCTCCCCCACCCCCAGCGGTACCTGGGAAGAAAGCCCTGGGCGGCGACCTCTCCCCACACCTGGCGTCACCGAGTGTTCCCATCCAAGATCCTAGAGGAGGGTCTCCCTCGTGGCCCAAGCAGGAGGGTCCAGAGTCTCACGGAAGCCAGTCACTGGAACCTGCGAGGCTGAATGAGCCCCCAAGACAATCGCCCCAGGGCACTTTGAGCCCTGATTCTGAAACCAATCTGCCTGGAGGACCTGACCCATCCTGCAGCGGTTCCCAGGTGCCTGGGGGGCAAATGGGAAAGCGTGGGGAGTGGGGGCGGGGGTCCGGAGGGAGGGTCTGAGCCCCGGCTGAAGCGGGAGCCACCATGGAGCAGAGCAGGGTCTCCTGTGACCCGGTCCCCGCAGCCCCAGCCTTCCCCACCCCTATCAAACCCGGGATAGGGGCTTTCTGGTCAATTCTATTTCGGCGGTCCCCGTGGTCACTGGAAATGCAGGGCGGGGCCTCACTTCTCAATCCAGGCTCAGAACTTCGCTGCCATCAGGTCTCCATTCCAAGCGGCAAGGACCCCACAGGACAGGGGAGAGCTGGCTGCCTTGTTGGGGTTTCCGAAACTTTAAACCGTGCCGGGCACAGGCAGCCTCCTCTTTCTCCCTCGTACCGGCTGTTGGGATTGAACTGCTGACCTTGTGGTTCGCAGACCCCACTCCCACAACAGGGCTCGGAGGGTTAGGCCGTGGATCTCAGGCTGCATTAATCTTCTCAGGCTTTGTCTCCACCCTGCCTGCCCCGCCCCCACTGTCGTCATTTCATTTAGGGCTGTGCTTCTCAAACTTCCTCACGCCGCGACCCTTTCAGACGGTTCCTCAGGTGGTGGTGACCCCCAACCATAAAGTTATTTTCGTTGCTACCTCATCACGTCATTTTGCTACTGTTAACAAACCGCATGTACATATCTGACAGGCAGCATGGATGTTCATTGTGACAAATGACACATCATGAAAGCAGAGTGATGAATCACAAAACAGTACGTAATTACGTATTGTGACATATTTATGGGTTTTCCGATGGTCTTAGGCAACCCCTGTGAAAGGGTCCTTCGATCCCCAAAGGAGTCGCGACCCATTGGTTGAGAACCGCGGCTTTAAGCCTTCCACCAACCAACCAAACCTCCCTGCACCGAGTCATGCCGACTCACGGCCGCCCTGTGGGGCAGGGTAGGGCTGCCCTGGTGGGTTTCTGAGACTGACACTCCTCACGGGAGTAGAAAGCCCCATCTTTCCCCCCAGAGCTGCTGATGGTTTCGAACTGCTGACCTTGCGATTCGTGGTCCAACATGGAGCCACACCACCACCAGGGCTGCTCCCACCAGGGGCAGCACACACCCTGGGCTTTCTGTGGGAACAGATCCCCTCTCTCCCTGCTGGGCCCCGGGGGCAGCCGCATGACGGTCTCCCACCCTGACCC